TTATGGATGTACTTGTTATCAGTACATATCCAAAATGGTTTCCTCAAAATGGTTTCCTCATGTACTCCTGCCCTCATGTCCTAATTTGAAAATCGGTAGTATTATAGTTATAATACCACATAAAATTATAAAATGAAATATGATATAGTATTAAATAAGTGAATAGATATAATACCATAGATGAACTTTTTAAATGAAAAGAACTAATTATTTAACAATATATTATGTTATAAACTTGGATAAAGCTACGTTTACCCTCTTCCGTTACACCCTCCATTACACACACCCATCTCCGTTACTTTGTCGTTAACGCCCAAACGCACCCAGCCCTTTCTTTCTCTTTCTCCTTTCCTATGGATAAAGCTACGTTTACCCTCCTCCGTTACACCCTCCATTACACACACCCATCTCTGTTATATATCTTTTGGATGTTCCTCTGCATTTTTTTTTTTTTTTTTGCATCTTCTTGATCTCCATTCATTTTGGCCCAATCTTGAGCTTCTTAACACATCTCTATATCCAAACACTGTTTAAGTCTTGCTAGTACACGAACCATGTCCGGCCTCTGGGTTCGTAATGGAAACACACATGACATTGCTATCTCCACTACTCTCCATGCTACATTGATGTTGATTTCATCTTGTAACCTTGGATCAATGATATTCTGGATATCTCCACTTTCAATTAAAGGTTTAATCCACTGAATTATGAAGATGCCATCCTCATCCTCTTCACCTCGTCTTATGATTGCTGGCTGACCAGTGACCAGCTCTAGCAGAATTATCCCAAAGCTATACACATCACTTTTCTCAGTTATGTGTCCAGTTCTATAAAATCTGTATGAAACACAGGAAAAAAAATTAATATCAGTAAGATTTTGAGCAAAAATGACTCAATTATCATGTTGCAGATTTAATTCAAGTCTTACTCGGGATCTAAGTATCCAACTGTGACATCAAAACCACTTATTGATATCTTGGCTTTCATCTTTTCGGTTAATAAGACGTTCTGGGATTTCAAACCTCTATGGATTATTGGTGGCTTGCAAACATAATGTAGATACTCCAAACCTGCAATCCTAACATAACATCAATTGATATAGCTCCTCAAAAAGGGAAACGGCAAGAAATTGAAGAAAGTTTTCACTATAAAAATTAGGACCTTGGGCAACATCTATAGCAATTTCAAGCCTTTTATTCCAGCTCAAAATTATTTTGCTTTTCTCTGCAAGAAAAAACATTTTAAGATAACAGTTTTAGCTCAATTAGTCACGGCCAATAAAATCTGGTCATGGAAAATCCAAACCTGATAAATGTCGCCTCAAATCTCCTTTAGACATGTATTCGTATATCAATGCCTTGTTACCATTTTCTTCACAATAACCCACGATAGAAATCAGATTTTCATGACGCAAAACTGTCATCAAGTTTACCTACATTTCCAAAAGATATTGTCATGGTAAAATTCATACGGTAGCATGTCAAACATTAGGGTACGTATTAAGAAAAATGGCTGCAGTGATCTAACCTTTGTCGACAATTCTTCATCACCTCTCACTGATAATGAAGACTGAACCTTTACAACAACATGACTGCCATCATCCAGGGTGCCAAAATAAACATTCCCAAATACTCCTTTCCCAAGAACTTTTTTGAAATTTGAAGTTATTTTAACAATCTGAGAGTAGCTAAAGGTCCCAATCTTTGGATTCATTGGCGGTTCTTTCTTTGGTTTCACAATGGCCCCTAAAGCAATGAAATGCATCATGTTTCAAGTTTAAAACATTAACTTTCCTTACTCTAAGATAAAATAAAAGGCTACCTTTTTGTTTCCTCCTTGTGCTTCTGAAAATTTTGACTAGGGCATTGGTCAACCAACCAGTCTCATCTAAACTTCTGAAACCCATCTCTACATCTAAACACTCCTTAAGTTTTGCCAGCACATGACTCATGTCTGGCCTTTGTCTAATTGGCAACACGCATGACATTGCTATCTTGATTGCTTTTCGAGCGGTATTGATGTTAAATTCACCTTGTAGCCTTGGATCAACGATGCTCCGGATATCCCCTCTATCAAATAAAGGACAAATCCATCGAAGTATGTGAATGTCATCCTCTTTGCCCTGTCTTATGATTGCCGGCTGACCACTAATTAGCTCTAGTAGAATTATCCCAAAGCTGTAGACATCACTTTTCTTACTTATGCGTCCTATTGTGTAAGATCTGTACAGAAAACCAAAAAAAAAAAATGATATCGATAAGATTTGGAACAAGAATGATGTATTAAACATGTTAAAAATTTAATTTTAAGTTTTACTCAGGATCTAGATATCCAAATGTGCCTGCGGGGCGAGTTGATACATGAGAGGCTTCTGTTGAAAAAAGTCTGGATAGTCCAAAGTCTGATATCTTGGCTTGCATGTTTTCAGTTAATAAGATGTTGGCTGGTTTCAAATCTCTGTGCACTATTGGGGGCTTGCAACCATGAAGAAACTCTAACCCTGCACTTCTAGCACAACATCAGTTGATGGCTCTATGGAAATTAGAAAGAGAAAAAGAAATTGAAGAAATAGTTCACTTAAAAAAATTAGCACCATGCGCAGCATCTACAGCAATTTGAAGCCTTTCACCCCAACTCAAAATTCGTTCACTCTTCTCTACAAGAAAAACATTCAAGGTAAGAATTTCTAGCTCCATTAGTAAGGACAATTAAAATTGGTCATAAAAAATCCAAACCTGATAAATATTGTCTCAGATTTCCATTGGCAATGTATTCGTATATCAATGCCTTATTACCATCTTCATCACAGTATCCCATTACAGACACCACATTTTCATGACAAACAACTGTCATAAGTTTTACCTGCATTTAAAGATGATGCTCTGTCATGGTAAAATTTAGTTTATACGTATTAAGTCTAATCTTAGATAGCATTGAGAGAAATGGCGGCAACAATCCAACCTCTGCTTGAAATTCTTTATAGCCTTGCATTGATGACGAAGACAGGACCTTAACAGCAACATGAGTGTCAGCATTCAAGAGGCCATGGTAAACTTCCCCAAATCCTCCTTTCCCAATAACCGTTTTGAAATTTGAAGTTATTTTGGCAATCTGAGAGTAAGTAAAGCTTCCATTCATTGAATTCATTTGTTGCTCCTCCATTGATTTCATGATGCTCCCCTAAAGCACTAGAAATTATCATGTATGTCATCAGCTGGTTCTTCAAATAAATTAAAGACTAAAAATTAAAACCAAAGTACCAATGGGGGGAAGTTACTTTCCTCGCTAAGTTATGATTGTTAAAATTAGTAAAGTAATTTTCTAGAAGGTTCACTATTCATGAATAGCTCTTCATCTTTCAGTTATGTTAGCATGTGAAATCAAATATATTTGTGGCAGTTACAATTAGTTTATTTTGTTTAGTGGTGTGGCAGTTTCTTTTGCAGTTTGTAACTTCTTTTCATTTTAGCAATGTTTATGTATTTCATCAATTATTTTCTAAGTAATAGAAGAAATTCAGAGTCATACAATTCTTGTTCCTTTTTTAGCCATTTTTGAAGTTCTTTGGTTTGCTTTTCTTCACTAAGGTTGCTGATCTTGGGTTAGTGTGGCTTTTGTTGCACTAAGATTTGTTTACATGGTATCAGAGCCTAAGAGATAAGCAATTGCTCTGTGACAAGACCTCTTGCGAAGAAATCAGCCGGTGTTCCAAAATGGATTCAAGTGGTCGAGTTGTTGGACTTGGTATGGAATTATTGAACCAATCCAATTATAATGTATGGAAGACTTGCATGGAATCTTATCTTGTTGGTGAGGACCTTTGGGATGTTGTTGGTGGTGATGACATTACGGCTCTAGAAAATAATGAAGAAAATGCTAAGGCCTTTAAGCAATGGAGGCAAAAGAATGCTAAGGCAGAATTTGCTTTGAAGAGGTCTATTTCTCATGGAATGTTTGAGCACATAATTTGCTACAAATCTGCCAATGGAATTTTGCAAACACTAGACAGGTTATTCAACAAGAGAGATGTGTCTCAACTACAGTTCTCGGAGAATCAACTAGCTAATGATTGTCAAGTGGGGACCTCTTTATTGCTCAATTTTTTCTAAAAATTAAAAATTTATGTTCAGAAATATCAATTTTGGATTCGAACAAGCCTATCTCTGAAGCTCGTATGAAGCGGCATATTGTTCACGGGTTAAAGCCAGAGTACATTGCTTATGTCACCTCGCTTCAAGGGTGGGCTCAACAACCATCCTTGGAAGAGTCTAAAAATCTCTTGTCCTCACAAGAGTCTTTGGCCGAGCAAATGGCAAGTTTATCTATGACTTATCAAGATGGTGGTGTTGACAATAAAAATGTCCATGTAGCTAAGAAAAGGAAAAACTTCAACTCAAAAGAAAAGAAAGATGGTGCAGAATCTAGAGTTGGTGCCTTTGATTCTTCAAATTTCAAGAAGAAAAACTTTAGATGTTATCGGTGTGGTAAACTTGGACATGCGACGAAAAATGTCGTGTCAAGCTGAAGCAAGGAAATTGGGTTGAAGCTGAAGGTGGTGATAAACAGGGTTCTTCTCAAAGCAATGAAGAAGACTGGGGAAAGTGTTTCATGGCCAGAATTGCATCCAATCCTACTTTAATTGATTTTAAGAATGATTGGATCATAGATTCTGGTTGTGTTCATCATGTGACTGGTGATGCTTCCAAGTTCTCAAGTCTCCATCTTTATAAAGGCAAAGATGCAATTATCATAACTGACAACACGGTTCACTCTGTGGAAAAAGAGGGGACAATTATTCTCGGTGGATACAAGGAAAAGTTCGTTACACTCAATAATGTGTATCATGTCCTAGGTATGACAAAAAAAATTTTCTCAGTTACAAATGTTGTGGACTCTAGCAATTATGTCTTATTTGGCCCTAATGATGTGAAATTTCTTTGAAATATTGAAGAATTAAAAGCTGATGTTGTTCATGTTGGTAAAAGAATTGATGATGTGTATGTTTTATCAACTTCAACATCCTTTGTTGAAAAGCTAAGTGGCCATGACAATGCTTCTATAAGGCATGCTCATCTTGGGCATCTTAACATGAATAAATTGAGAGTTATGGTGTAGAAAGAATTAGTCAAAGGGTTGCCAAACCTAACTAGTTTTAGTGATGGTGGAATTTGTGAAGGTTGTCAATATGGCAAGGCTCATGGGCTTCCGTTTGAGAAGTAGTCTTCTTGGTGCAAAGCTCCATTGGATTGCATTCATAGTGACTTGTTTGGGCCAACTCCCACTCCTTATTCTTGTTTTTGCTATATGTTGATATTTGTTGATGATTTTACAAGATTCACTTGGGTTTATTTTGTGAAGAAGAAATCAGAAGTTTTCCTCAAATTTCAAGAGTTCAAGGAAACTGTTGAACGAGCTCTTGGAAGGAAAATCAAATGGCTTCAAACTGACAATGGAGGTGAATTTACTTCTGATGCTTTTAATTCCTTTTGTCGTAGTGAAGGGATAAGAAGAGAACTCTCTTGTGCTCACACTTTGCAGCAAAATGGAGTGGCAGAGAGGAAAATTAGACATCTTGCGGAAACTTGTAGAAGCTGGTCACATGCAAAAAATCTGCCAAAAGAATTATGGGCAAAAGGAATGAAATGTGTAGCTTATGTGATCAGCAGGGTGCCACTTAGTCCAACCAACATGAAGTCTTCTTATGAGTTGATGTTTGGTGAGAAGCACAATGTTAGGCGCTTCAAAATTTTTGGCTCTATCTGTTTTGTCCATGTGCTAGATTCTCAAAGAAACAAGTTTGATGCCAAGGCTAGAAAGTGCATTTTTGTTGGCTATGATGAACAAAAAAAGGGCTGGAAATGCATGGATCCTATCTCTCACAAGTTTGTTGTGTCAAGAGGTGTGGTTTTTAATCAAATTTCATCCTACTATGGTTCTACTAAGGATTTGGAGCCTAAAGTTACAAGTTTTCCTTTCACATCAAATTCAAATTCATTTGCTTCACAGGAAAAGCATGGTGAAAGGGGGAGCTCCAGTTCAAGTGCAAATGGTTAACAACAAAAAGAAGATGGAGCTGCTAATCAAAGATCCAAAAGGAATATTGTTAAACCAACCCGCTATCGAGATGAAAATTTTAGTAGCACTTACTCTTTTTTCTTTGTAGGACCATCTGACGATGAAGTTCCTTTGTGCTTTGAAAGGAAAAAGGTGTCAAAGTATAGGAGGATGCAATGGATGAGGAAATGAATGCACTATTTAAAAATGAAACTTGGGATCTTATTCCAAAACCCAAGGATGTACAGCTTGTTTCTTGTAAATGGGTGTACAGAATTAAGCGTAATGTTGATGGGAGCATAGACAGATATAAAGCAAGGCTGGTTGCTCATGGATTTTCTCAAAAGTATGGAGAAGATTATGAAGAAACTTTTAGTCATGTTGCCAAGATGACTTCAGTTTGTACAATATTAGCTCTTGTAGCCTCTCAAAATTGGAAGTTGTGGCAACTTGATGTCAAAAATGCTTTTCTATATGGAGAGCTTGATAAAGACATTTACATGGAGCAACCACCAGCCTATGTTGCCAATTCTCATCCAGACTTTGTTTGCAAACTCAAGAAAGCTCTTTATGGGCTAAAGCAAGTGCCAAGGGCTTGGTATGGAAAAATGGCTCAATATTTGCAATTTTGTGGTTATCTTGCTTTAGATTCTTATCATAGTTTATTTGTGAAAAAGCAATCTAGCTTGCATGTTATAGTTCTGCTATATGTGGATGACATAATAATAATAGGAAATGATGAAGAAGAAATTGCAAGACTACAAGAAGAGCTCTCTATTCTTTTTGACATGAAAAATCTAGGAGAGTTAAATCATTTTCTCGATTTAGAAGTTGAAAGTTTGGAAAATGGAATTTTTGTAACTCAAAGAAATTATGCAAAAAAGCTTGTTGCAAAGTTTGGCTTGAAGGAAGGAAAAAAGCACTCTACTTCGCTTGACATAAATACCAAGCTAAGGCGTGATGAAGGCTCCTTGTTGTCTAATCCTCAACCTTATCATGCTCTTGTTGGAAATTTGATTTCTTTGACTATAACAAGGCCAAATATTGCATTTTCTGTTGGTCTTGTTAGTAGGTTCATGCAATCACCTCGAAAGCCACATCTTGAGGCTGTGAAGAAGATTTTGAAGTATGTCAATACCACCCTTGACATGGGATTGTTCTACAAGAAAGGAGCAAACTTTTCTCTACTTGGTTTCACAGATGTTGATTTTGGTGGAGCTTTGGATAATCGCAAATCGACATCTGGTTATGTGTGGGACTGGTATTTCTTGGTGTAGTAAGAAAAAAGATTCAGTTTCTTTGTCAACTACTGAAGCAGAATATAAGGCTTCTACTCATGTAGCTCAAGAATGTGTTTCGCTTTGAAGGCTCATTGAGGATCTTGATTCTCCTATTCAAGGTTCAACCAGCCTTTATGGAGATAATCAAAGTGCTATTAGGCTTGCCACCAATCCAGTTTGTCATGCAAGGACAAAACACATTGAGGTGGAGCATCATTTCA